AAAGACGGAGGAAGGGGCGTTGCAGTACTGAAACGCCGTCTAAGCTGTTCGCCAATCACAATGCACTGGGACAGCTAACCAATCACATCACATTTCGTTTTTCGGAAGGCGGGCGTTCATCAAACCCGGAACTAATCGAGCCGTTTGTGCTAGGATGGGGAGAAAAGTATTGTAATAATGTAAATTATGTAAAAAATAATGCGTTTTTCGAACCACCAAGCATGAGAGCATGTTCTAGTACACCCCCAAAACAAATTCAAGACATTGTAAAAGAGCATAATAGGACCCCTTTAAAACTTTTCAATCAAATGGCAGCTTTATTAAAAGCCCAGCTATCCTTCTTGCAGATCCCAGTTTAAATCCTACTGATGACATTATGCTTTTAGGATAGATCTATTCTGAGTCAAGTTATTAATTCATGGAATAGGCCCATTTTCTGACCTCCAGGGAAATTACCATGCGATTCATTCTGATTTAATTAACCTTTGGAGACGGGGTTTGCATTTTGTCAGAGGGCAGAACAATCTGGCAAAGTTGAAATGCAACTTATTGATGCTGATACAGAGATAAAGACACAGATCACCCATTAACTGTTGATGAAAGAGTGATTCTCTGACAGCAGAGCGCCATAATAGTGTCTAATTATGCATGTAATAGTTCCCATTAGATGTCATCAGCAGTGGATGTGTAATCATTTCTCCAGATGAGCTGAGCAGGAGCACTGTGGAGGCCAGTGAGTATGAGAAGGTCATCCAGCGGTTGAACCAGGAACTGCAGGAGGCCAATGAACAGGCCAATTCGGGCAAACACAAGTGTATTGAACTCCAAGGTAAAAGAGGGCCTTTAAAGCAACTCTACGTAGTTGTGTGTATTTTTGTGACTTTGAAGAGTGGAATTCACTTTTGTAAACATATCACTGTTGAATTACAGTGGATAGCTGTACTCGTGCATTTATTGCTGCCGTAAAGCAATCCGCCCTTTCACTAAACTTACGTACTATCAGAACAGACGTTTAAGGGGGAGTGTGGGGAAGGAACAGAAGCCATTCGCCTTATTAGAAGTAAGCCATCAGAATGATTTTGAAACTTCAGGGTGTTTCAGGGTAAAAAAAAACCAACAACTTACATACAGTTGCCCTAAGTGCACAAAAATGACTCTCATTTGAATATGAATTAGAATTTAAATATGAGCGACAAATACTGATTCTAGATCAGTGTTCACCTTTGCCTAACTATGCTGTATATATTTTTATTGATATAAAATGCATTATTTCATCATTTGTTAATAATAATCGCTATTAAATAATTATAAATATTTCATATTAACAATTGAATATTAATAATAATTATTATTAATATTATTTGGAATTATTAATTACCGTATTGGCCCGAATATAAGACGACCCTGATTATAAGACGACCCCCCTTTTCCAGATGTACCTTTTGGAAAAAGGCTTTTTAAAAACCAAATTTTTTTTTTTCTCAGTAAAACACATTTTGTTTTCAATTATTTTCATATTGCATATTTTTCCTATTTTAATTTTTGTTTTGAAAGTATGGTAAAAACTGGTAAAATGTACCAACAATCATATTTTAAAAATATACACTTTTTGATATACCATTACAAAAAAAAAAACGGTTAGCCCATCTGAATTATCCATCTAATAGTACCCTACCAAAATCTTATGAACAGTAGAAGTTAAATCTTACTGTAGTCTTCAAATCTGGGTACTGTCTTACGTTTTAAAATCACAAAGGGAGTTTGGTCCCATCAGGCTAACAGTGACAGTCACGACTCATGCAGCTGTAAGGTTTTCTTCTTCTTTTGTTTTTCTCGCGATCTTTACAACACGCATTACATTACGTATTTCATGGCACACTCGTTTTATGCGTATTTGGCGCCACCTAGTGTTGTGGGTGTATTATTGACATGTCAAAGTCTAGACCCTGAATATAAGACGACCGCATTTTTTCAGATGTATTTCCAAGACAAAAACATCGTCTTATATTCGGGACAATACGGTATTATGGATATTTATATAAGCTTGTGAACATTTTAAATTTATTTGGAATAGCAGTCATGCTCAACAGGTCCCCCTAATGACTTGTGCTGTGTATTACAGGTCTGTTGGAGGAGGAGAAAAGAGGCAATAAGCAGCAGGCGGTGGAGTCAGCAAAACAGATAAAGGTCTTACAGAGTAAGTCAAGGAGGGTGTGTCTATCTTGTTATATTTACTAAACAATGTATTATACCAAATTATCTTTGTGTCTACATGTGCATTCAGCTCAGCTCCAGAAGCTGCAAGAAGATATGGAGAATCTCAGGGATCAGAAGGACAGCACAATCTTCAGCTTGCGTCAGGAAGCGCACGCAGCTAAGGAGGACGTGCAGGTGTTGCGCCGCACTATGGAGAAAACAGCAGCTGAGCGAGAGCATGAGGTCAACGTGCTGAAGGGGAACCTAGCAACGCTAACTTCCGAGCTGGAGAAATGGCAGTTGGCTGCAAACAAGTACGAGCGTGAGCTTGACAGTGTACAGGCTAGTCACCAGCAGCAGAACCAGCAGAGAGACAGAGCTGCCAAACAGCAAGGTACCCACAACCCCACAGACCACTATCCTCACAGATGACTGGATTGGCCTGTAGTATTTTAAGGCTACATCTTAAATCATGAAATCATGTGAGAACATCAACATTTCTCATCCATGTATTGTGCTAAACCTAAATGCAAATTAATCTATATTTACGCTTCCACATTAACATGAATATTCGATTTAATAATGATTAATAATCATCATCATCATCACCACCACCATCATCATCTTCTTCATAATAATAATAATAATAATAATAATATAACCATACATTAAAAAAAGTTTTCAAATTAACAAATCAGTTTTCTGAGCTTTTGATAATAATATTAATAATTATAATATTAATAATAATAATAACTATACTTTCCAAATAAAAAATAAGATCTCCATTAAAATACTAAATATGAATTGTTACAAATTTGAGCTTTTAATAATAATAATAATGATTATTATGATAATAGTTCAAACATTATTGGGTAATGTTGCAAGTATTAATTTTACCAGGATAAAGATTAATCAGAAAAAAAAGATTTCACTGAAACAAAACAAAAAAAAAGAAACAAAAAAGAAATAATTAATAAAAAACACATAACTATAGCCTCATCAGGCAAAATGTCTGTATTTTGTACCAGTTAAATTAAGGTTCTTTTATGTCTTCTGCACATTCATAATCTCTTTGGGGAATTTGTCCTCCCTTCTCAGAATGATGAATGATATAATGTATTGGTGGAGGTTACAAATCAAGCCCTAGGTTCATCCAACGACAGTCACAGCAGTGTTTGCAGTAATCCGACAGATATTCAGAAGATGACTCGCATTTCTCACATTACTTCCACCGTTATGTAACAGTAGCGTTGTGAGTCAGTGTGTGTGTGTATCTGTGTCTGTGCGTTTGTGTGCATGTCTTTGGGTATGTGTTTAATTGTGTGTGTGATGCAGCAAGCGAGCTGGAGCGGCTGCAGAAGGACTGTGAGAGTCTGAGGAGGGAGTGTGCGTCTCTGAGGTCAGAGAGAGAGCAGCTGGCTGATAAACAGCAAAAAGAGAAGATCAGCCTGCAGAGTGAGAGCAGCACCCTGCGCTCAGAGAAAGAACAGCTGCTGAAGAAACAGCAGCAGCTGGAGAAAGAGCTGGACAGGTCTGTCCTATGCGGTATCATATACAGTGTGTCATTTCCATGCCACTGAAAGCACCACATGTAATTGCAAACTGTTTTAAAATCGGCATGGTTGAAGTCATTAACCCCATGACTTATCATGACTACTTTTTTTTTTTTTTTTTGGTGCTTTGTTTTTGTTTTTTTGAAACATGAAAAATGCTCTTTTTGTTGCATGGGAAAAAATAACATACAGGTTGAGGATGAGTGAAGAATGTCCGAATATTCATTTTTGGTTGAATTATTTGTATAGGCTTACTTCTCCTCAGATATTAAAATGGGATAGGAGAAAGTTTTTAAACATGGAAAAAATGACACTTCACTATGGCTGGGTTATTATCAATCTTGAAAACAGTTGTGCTGCTTAATATTTTTGTGGAAATCGTGATTTGTTTTTTCTATGATACTTTGATTTATAGAAACCATTTTTGTTTTTCTGTTTTTTTTTTTTTTTTTTTTTTGGTGCTTTGTTTTTGTTTTTTTGAAACATGAAAAATGCTCTTTTTGTTGCATGGGAAAAAATAACATACAGGTTGAGGATGAGTGAAGAATGTCCGAATATTCATTTTTGGTTGGATTATTTGTATAGGCTTACTTCTCCTCAGATATTAAAATGGGATAGGAGAAAGTTTTTAAACATGGAAAAAATGACACTTCACTATGGCTGGGTTCTCATTTTGATTAACCATTCAGCTGATTACAGAACCGGCTTTCTGACAAGATGCGCGTTAAATATCGCATACGATTTATCGTGCAGCCCTAACAGCCTTTTAGTTTAAGCTGCCTCCTATCCAATAATCTCAATAAGCTTTGCACTTTACTTTTAATATAAAACAAAGTTCACTCTTAAGTTCTGTCAGTTGTACCACAATAAATAAACAAATGTCGTTTTGATGCTCTTTAATGTAGTGTCATAAATCACTTTAGCAATTTGTGTTTGGATAAATCTGTCATGGAAAAAAAAGCCACTGTTTAAATGTTTGTATTTTAACAAATTGGAGTAGAAACATAGTCATATCTTTTAAAAGTTGATATAAAAACTGCCTTATGTGCAATTTAAATGTTTGTATGAAATCTAGTTTTTATTTGACTGTTGATTATTACATCTAAAAATAAATAGCAATTGAATTTGGACTCGACTTGAACCAAATCAAGAACGGAATCAAAACATATGAAGAATTTAATCAAATCATGAAATGTATCAATACCCAGCCCTACACTTCACCTTTAAATAGGAGAAAAGCTCTTTTTGCAGACTTTTGATGTAATGACGATGTAATCTCTCTGGAATCTGAACCTGCATTCTGCCCACAGCTCTAAGAAACAGAACGCAAGCCTGAGCAACATGGTCAAGACCCTGGAGAAGACGCAGGTAGACCTGGAAAAACGGCTGAGTGTCCTGCAGGAGGAACACCAGAGAGCCACCAGCCAGCTGGAGCAAAGCAATAGCAGGATCAAAGAACTGCAGAAAGAGGTTATTCCCATCGTAGTTGAGAAAGAAAGAACGTAGAGCTGAGACTCATTAGCAGGCACGTCACAAAAGAGCTCTGCTCCGAAAAAAAGACCTGGCCCCTGGACACACAGTGTGTGTGTGTGTGTGTGTGTGTTTGTTATTGACTAGGCTGATTGCTCCTTGTGAAATTTTCCTACTCTCTCTTTCTCTTTTTCGCTCTCAGTATGAGGAGATCCAGGCAGAGCTGTCAGGCCTCAGGGAGAAGTATGAGAATGCAGAGGAGGAGAAACGCTCCTTCAGTCTGGAGCTGCAGCAGAACAAAGAGCGCCTGAGTCTTCTGCAGGACAAAGAAAACCATGTGAGTGTTCAATCCACGTAATGCTGATGTTCAACAACAGGGGCACTGACAATAGGGACAGTTCAAGAGGAAAGCGCATATATTACGTTGTTTTTTTTTTACCTTGAAATCAACGCTGAAAAACGTAGCATCATTTGTTTGACATGCACGTCTTACAGTTTGTTTAAAAATTTTGTATAGCCTAAAGGTGAAGTGTGTAATTTCTGTGGCCAACAACGACACCAAACTGATTTGCAGACTGTTTCCAAACAGGTTTCCCCAAATACTTCTATAAAAATTGACATAAAGAGTAAATGAATCCCCCCAACAATTCCATGTAACAACATAAAATACATGTGGAATATTACTGTCGCCAAAACAAAAACGAGGATTTATTTTTATTTTGCATCCATTCTCCAAACTGCTTGTCCTATGTTTATGGTCACAGGGGTGCTGGAGCTTGTAAGCAGGGAAACACCCTTTTATTTTATTTTATTTTTTATTTACTCAGGCAACTCACTTGAGATTCTTTGAGATTCTTGTAATGTTTTTATTCTAATTAAATTATTAATATATAAAATATTTTTAAAAAATCAAACAATATAATAAAAACTACAAACAATTCCAAACTAAGCATCAATTGAGCCCAAACTTGACATGTCACGTTTAATCAAACATCTGCATTGTCTCTGCACATTAAACTGGAAAAGGGGAAGAGTTTTAACTATGAAACAATTGCACACTTCACCTTTTGATTTCCTTATCTTGATGACAGTTAAATTCACCAGTCCAGTAATAGAAAACACAAGCCAATCATTCAGTAATATCCCTCCCTTCCCTCCTTTAGCTGTCTTTATTGCAGCCCATCCTAGCCGTAGCCATCGGCCTTGTCCTGGCTTTGCTGTTTTGGTGCTTGGGCCCATTGTGGTAGAAAGGTACACAGTGCTCCTGTCCCGTCTCATTCCTCTGCTTAAGCATCTATCATCCTCAGGGCTATGCATGACCACTAAACAATTCTCTCAGCTTAAGCTACCAAATACTGTCCGCAAAATGCTTCTGTTTTCCTACTACAGGTCCGCTTTGTATTATAAGACGCACACTAACAAGTGTTCTAATGAATCAACTGCATTTTGTAGGTTGTAGTTTTCCAGCGTAGCTCTGAGGCATCCCGGCTCTCTTTGTCCTCCACCGTACGTCTTCTGCTGTCCTCGTCTTGTGTGTACTGACCTCAGTTTCTCCGCATCATGTCCTTGTGGCTTTTGTGTCCCCGTCTCGGCTCATGTGCATCCCTGATTGTAAACATGTTCTGATAAGCGATGCGGTACTACAGATGATGTGATCTGTATGTTTGTTCTTGCAGGGAAAATGGATCAGGTGGATGCCCGTCGCTGCTGTGACCGTTGCCGTGACGGGGTATTTGCTTTCAAAGACCTCAAAATGAACAACGTGATGAACCAGTAACAAACACACGCACCATGACATGCATACCAAGTATATGTTTCTCAGACTTGTTGACATTTGTATCCTTTTAGTCTGTCTGGTGTTAGTTTGAGTAACGAGTGTTTAAATGCAACTTCTTACTCAAGTATTGAAGGCCTTAGAATAATAATGTGTCACAACATTCTCTCATTTGCACCATATGTAATAGATTTTTTTTAAAAATTGAGATTCTGTATGCATTGCATTTTGAAGTATCTGACTAATAACAGGTATTTTATTGAACACTGTTGCTTTGCCAAACAAACACTTAGTGAATTGCCTTATTTAACATAACCTTAGATAAACAAATGTTTATACCCCCCTGAACGAACACTTCCATGAGAACCGATTCAGAACTGCAAAGTCCACTGTAATAACCATCGAAGTTCATTAAGTTTTAACTTGATCATATGTTTTGCGGCTTAAAGGCCTAAATCTGCTAGTAATGTGTATGTGTCTTTGCACCTTATACGAAGCCATTAGTGATTAGTCTATGCACTGTACTTTATTGTGATAAGGATTTGACATATTAATGATGATGGTGATAATGATAATCACTGTATACCTAGGACATTAGAGCGCTAATGTGTCAGAAAGAGACCTATAATAAAGTGTTTATGATTGATCATGTTTATTACTTGTACAGAGATTTAAGGAAAACCTACCTGATCTAACAAACATGATAATTGCAATAAATAAGCAAGAGTAAAGTTCAACCCTATTAAGTCCCTGTTTAATTTTTATACATTTATTTATGCATATCAGCTGAATTGTATTTCGATAACTTTAGAGTAGGGTCAATTTGTTACCATTTTATACAATTAAATAACAAATGCTGTAAAATGCTAATGTAGGTTAATTTTATTTATAAATATACTGGTGTTTATTGTTAATTCGTGTTAGTTCATATTACCACAGAAATAGCTATTATATTTTGTGATACTGAGTTACATGTAATGCAGTAACAGCCATTATTTGTTGCTGTTATTTCATGGTACATGGCCTTTTTATAGCAAGAAATATCTTTTTCTTCATTTGGCCTTGCAATATGCAATTTGACCACTGTAGTTTGATTCACAAACAGATGTCTCTTATTTATATATATATATATATAATGTATATATATGTATGTGTCGGTTCTTTTCAGTGAATCAAAAACATACAGTGTGCCCAGGGTTGCCAGCCTGAGAAACAAAACCAGCCCAATTGCTATTGAGAACTAGCCCAATCACGTTTTTTTTATGCGGTTTCGTTACCAGCGATAAGGTTATCAGCAACAGTGATGTCAGACCTTCATCTGGCTGCAGGTGGGAATTAGCTGAATTCCCCAGGCCTGAGGATCCCGTTTCTGACCCTATCTTCCTAGTAAATACATTCTTCAAGCACTGATGTAACTACACTGAACAAAATAGGCTCACATTTTAGAGTGGCCTTTTATTGTGGCCAGCCTAAGGCACACCTGTGCAATTATCATGCTGTCTAATCAGCATCTTGATGTGCCACACCTGTGAGGTGGATGGATTATCTCGGCAAAGGAGAAGTGCTCACTAACACAATTTAGACAGATTTGTGAGCAATATTTGAGAGAAATAGACCTTTTGTGTACATAGAAAAAGTCTTAGATCTTTGAGTTCAGCTCATGAAAAATGGGGGCAAAAACAAAAGTGTTACGTTTATAATTTTGTTCAGTGTAGAATCTGTTTTTATTATTCCTTTGCACGATGTGGGGTTGCAGCATGATGACACCGTTCATGTCAGAGTAAAAACAGCTCTCAGAGGCGCTGTATGATCATAATTATGGGCCAGGATTGGGGGGTCTAGGGCACTCCCACCACCAGCGAAGCTACATGAAAGCTTCATGCTTCACGGCTCTTATATTGCAGTTCTATAAAAGGTTTTGGACTCCACACTGATCAGAGAGAACGATGGGTGATTTTAAAGATCGTGTTACTGCAGCTGCAATCAACCTGGTAGATGATGCACCATGGAAGAAGATACAGAAGAACACCTTCACGCGCTGATGCAACGAACACCTGAAGTCTGTGGAGCTGCAGATCAGCGATCTTAAGTTCAATCTGAGCGATGGCCTCATCCTTATCTCGCTGCTGGAGGTCCTGAGCCATAAGAGGATGTTTAGAAAATACCACACGCGACCCACCTTCAGACAGCTCAAGCTAGATAATGTTTCGGTGGCTCTGGAGTTGTTGGATCATGAAAAAGTGAAGTTGGTGTCTATAGGTGAGTTACAACCTGCCTGAATTCTTTCAAAAGGTGTTCACAACAATCTATTAGTTGTTTTCTCAAGTCATTTTAAACCCATATGAACAACATTTTAAAGATCTAGTTTCTGAATGTTTTTAAAGTTCACAATGAAGCAATCTGTTGATTTAAAGTCAGGTGTACAAAAATATGTACAGTGCAGGACCAAATAAATCAGGAGAAGAATAGATGAGTTGGAGAGAATAGTGAAAGTCATAAATGTTTTCAAAGTTTAATTTTTGTTTTGTAGTTTTTTTTTTTTTTTTTTTTAGTAAATATATTGAGTAATGTATGTCAGAGCAGCTACTGCACAAATAAACAGGGCTAACTTTAAAATTAGTCTGTGTTTATACTCCCCTTAAATTAAAAGGTATGTAATTAAAATGAACAAGCCATAATTCACCTCTAATTGTACTAATAAGACAAAATAGTAAGTATAATTGTCTGTATGCTGTTAACAATGTTTCTGGCTGACAGCAACTGCGGCTATTACGCCATTTATTGAACATCAGACTTGGTTACATTAATGTTTTGCTTAAAACATTCACTTAAAATTGTTGAATTTCTGTTGACAATTGTTATTGGCAGGGTTGTTATTGTTAACAAATTATTAAAAAATTTCGTTAATTGAAATTAATCTGAAATAAAATATCAATATTAGATAGAAAACCTCAAAAATTATAAATGTTTGCTTGGCAACTGACTGAAATAAAATAAGTTGAAGTTAAAGTACCAAAATTACTGAAAATAAAACTGAAATAAAAAATAAAGCAAAATATAAAAAAAAAAAAAACATTTTTTGACAATGATAAATGAAAATGAAAACTTAAAATATAAAAATAACAGCTAATTCAAAAAATTAACTATACAGTATATAAAAAATACTAAAATAACACTGGTCATTAGAGTCTTCATTGTATCTACATATATAACTAACGGTTTTATTTGTCTCTTAAAGAAGGTCAGCTGCAAAATCAAGTAAATGGTGGCTGTTGTCTGAAAAGCAATAGCATTTCTTCAGAAAGACATTATCAGATGTTGAGCTTAGTCTTCACAGATAATGAACTGAATTGCTGATCCCACATGTTTTTTTATATAAATTCCTGTGTTTTTTTTTTCTCTAATTAGGGAGGGCAGGCTTTGGGTCAAAGTGTCCTAGTGTCAAATTTGGGGACGGCACTTCAATTAGCTGTTTCCTGGACCAGAACAGTGTTCCCGGCTGAACTCTCTTGTTTGGATATAATAGCTAAAATGACAAAAAACATTTGGTGTATTAAAAAAAAAAAAACTTACTTTGTTACCAAGAGATGGTCTCCAAATTCAAAGAACAAATAGACACACCTTCACTGTCTCCAAGTTAATATAATTATATATTCATACTTTATTTTCTATTTTATAATTGTCACTTTTTACCAATTATCTTTTCAAGGTTTTGCCATTGAAGGTCCATCTCAGGCAAAGATCGAGTGTGATGACCATAATGATGGCTCCTGCCTCATGCATTTCTGTGAGTATGCTGTACATGTGATGTGTGATGATGAAGAAATCCAGGACAGTCCCTTCATGACCTCCATCAGACCTAAGTGAAAAGAATTCCACCCTGACCAGGTAAACTCCTATATCCTGTCCTATTAATCATGCAGACATGTGTCCAGCCCTTCATTTTATATAAATGAGATGTTTTCATTAGATGTGAAATGATACAAGTTATGCATGTTGGGTTTCAGGTGAAAGTAGAAGGACCAGGGGCCTCATGTATCAACTCTGCGTACGCACAAAAACTTTGCGTACGCCAGCTTTCACGCTCATGGTCGGATGTACTAACAGTGAAATTAACGTGAGAATGTGCGTTCCTCCCGCGGAAGTAAGGCCATAGTGGACGGGAACTTGAAGCTGATTCTGGGTCTAGTGTGGACCCTGATACAGCATTACTCCATCTCCACCCTGGTGTGGGAGGATGAGGCAAACGATTCTGTCTCCAAACTGACTCCAGAGATGAGGCTTCTGGGATGGATCCAAAACAAAGTCCCTGAACTGCCGATAACTAATTTCAGCCAGGACTGGCAGGATGGCAAGGCCCTCTGTATTTTTTATAATTGCATTTATCAAGCTCATAGCCCCAGAGGAGATTCTTGATCCAGCTGTGGATGAGCAGTCAGTGATGATGACATGCCTCTCACTTTTCCCCAAAGCCAGACTCAAACCTGGAGCTCCACTCAAGCCAAAGAAAGGTCGGGCCCATTATAAGCCCCTGCAGTTTAGTCTTTTGATTTTGTCACAAATAATGAAAAGGAAAGAGGGAAGAGATGCATCATGATGATAATCAAACATTTGTTGATGAGAACACTTTCTGCAGGTTACATTGATATGCCAGAAGGTGATAAAAATGGGCTTTGTTGTTATGAGTGAATCATTAAAGTATACATTTAATGGATTCATTCTAAAACCCTGATTCATTCAAGAACAAAACGCCACTAATTTGTTTTGCTCGGACCTATAGTGTTCAAACCGATTCACACCAAGCATGATATAAACTATAACTGAAACATTTTGATTATCTTTCTAATTCTATGAGAATTTTGTTGTCAGAAAGATTTTTTTCAGTTAATGAATAAAAAAACATTGACAGCCAATCAAAATCCACCTGATTTTAAAGAGCTCAAGCATTTAAAGTAGCAGACGACAAAACTGCAGCACTTATAATGAACAGAACATTAGTCCATTTGTGTGGATGCTAACATAGTTACTGCAGTTAGGGTTGCAAAGGGGAGGAAAATTTGTGTATTTCGGGATTTTTGGAAACTTTTTGGAAAATTGTTTGTAAAGTTTTCGGAAATTCACTACAAATTTTCCGCCCCTTTGCAACCCTAATTGCAAGAGTTATTGTTCTTGGTTTGAATGGGAATACATTCGGCTTTAGCTTTGTTTGGAAGTATCTAGAAATATTGTCTAAAATGTAAGTTACTCAATATTATCTTCTTATTAATTGAACTGTTGTTGTTAAAACAGGAATATCACACCTGCAGTTGTGCTCAATATCAGCAGCACCTGCAACCTCATTCCTGCGGTCAACACCTTGATGCTGTTATGACATGTAATTGATTGTAATTGGCATGTTATATGTCAGTTACCCAAATCCAGTTGTTTTCATAATGTGTACATACAACCTTGAGAACCTTGGGTATAATTTTTTTTTTTTAAATTTTTTTTTTTTTGGTATCTCCCTCTCATACAGCTTAAAATCTCATTTTCTATTTTTTTTCCCCAGTGCCTAAACCCAAAGCCTGTCATGCCACAGGAAGAGGATTGCAGCCCAAGGGTGTTAGAGTAGGTCAGCTGGCCCAGTTTAAGGTGGACACCCACAAAGCTGGGCCTAGAAATCTGGAGGTCAATATTAGAGACCCCAGTGAGTAATAGCAAATAATCTCCATAATCTGTATAAAGATGTGTAACCCCT